TAAAGAGCCACACTGTTGGGTTCATACAACAATACGAGTTATTACCCCTCATACTCGGGGTGGGCGGTATACCAGTTTCATCACCATCACCGGTGTCACGTTCTGCCACGACATGGATTTTGCACTTCAACACAAAGCTGAGAAAAACTAGGTGACACACGCTGAATCTCTAGAACAGCCACGCTGCTCGTGCTCTTTGGTCCAACAGCATCTGCACTGCTTATCTCCTTCGTGTGGGATAACATGTAAAAGGTTATGTCGGCTTTACGTTTCTTCAAAGATGCTAATTCTCTTAAGTGTAATATTCCCATTTTGGCTGTGATGAAAAGAGGTGAAAAAAACACGCGTTATATATTTACAATGTTATTTCATTTTAGGTCATATCGCCCACCCCTACCTCATACTGACATGGTGTTAATATGGTCTAGCCAGGCTCTTTGTTTGACTCTCAGTGCTTGCTTTGTCTCCTCTCCCCGTCTATCAGATGTTGGCTCTGGCGGTGCTGGACCGGATCCTTTCCATAGACCGCCAGAACCAGTGGCTGCTTTATGTCTGCAACAGTGGCTACCTGCGGTCGCTAGTGGAGAGCCTGAGGCAGGACGATGTCGCCCTGCAGAGCCTGCTCACACCTCAGCCCCCACTCCTCAAACCACTTTACATCTACGAGAGCAAGATGGTGAGCACAATGTGCACTTCTACCCGTTTCTTTTGAAAAGTCGACCCATAGCCTCGGTCTCAATCCTCTGTAAGTACAGGACTATGACGGTACGAACTCTGCTGTGTGTTCTCAGGCTCTGCTGACTCGTGTGGCGAAGACAGGTCAGGGAGCTGTGGAGCTGCTGCGCTGTGGCCTGGTGGCACAGCTGATGGAGTGTCAGGTGTTTGACATGGTACCCGACAGCGATGCACACAGGTATGGAAGTGAAGAGGGAAGGAAAGAGGGGGTGGATTAACTTCCAAGTGTTTTTTATTATTATTATGAAATTGTGATGTTATTGATAAAGGCTTTTCAAATTGGTAATTTTGGATAAAATGCCCCCGGAATAAGTCAGTTTCTTCCACTCGGACCTGATTTCTACCAAATGAATGTAAAGAATAATGCATATTATATGTTTGTTTCATAATTCCTGTCTAAAGAAACGCAATGAAAAGCTTGCAAGCCATTATAATGAGTGAGCAACGTCTTCCTCTAGAAGAATTTTAAATAGAAGTTGTTTTGCTTTATCCCGGTGCGTTTAACTGACTGTCTCGCTCAGATGACGTCTGTTCCTAAGCTCTCTATTAATAGCATTCCCTAAATTTGTGTGTGTCCGCCGATGGTCAACAGGGTGATGAGGGACCCGTCAGGCTTCATCCCCAGCCCCATGGACCGCTACAGGCAGATTCTCCTCCCAACCCTGAGGCTCTTCCAGGTGATCTTGACGTCTACAACAATGAATCACCAGCAGGGGGCGGCACAGGTAAGCACACAGCTATTGATATCACCAAGACTGTATTGTTTGGTCATTGCACATACATCCTAACTCTCTCATTGCTGTGTGTGTGTGTGTGTGCGTGTGTGTGTAGGTTCTCCAGTGGCTGATAGTGCACGCCGACACTATCCAGTCCCTGTTGCGCTGTCAGGAGCTCAGTATGGGAGCTTTGCAGGAGCTCTCTTTGCTTACTGGCATCATCAGTAAGACTGCTTTGCCAGGTACAACACTACTGTCCTTATCTTCTTATTTACTTTGCCATCTATTGTTATGTGTTTCCATTGTGCAAGCCACATGTTGACATTCAGAGACTGCGTGAATGGTGGTGTTCATGCTCTGCTTGGTCTCTCAGGTGCCCTTGAGACCGGTGGGGAGATCAACAGTGCTGCTCTTATGGAGTTCCAGGGACACATCAACAGATTTCAGGTCAGACGACTGCCTTTCTTTTTTTTTTTTTTTCTTTTTTTTTTAATAATGTGTCATATTGATGTCGTCTTCTTGCTAATGCACACCCGTTCCAGTTGATTAATGCGTCTCTTCACGTTCCAGCGTCTCTGTCTGTCGCTGCTTGGCCGTCTGGCGGGGAGCGAGCGGGAGAGGTTGCTGAAGCAGGCCGAGATCGCCGCACCTGGAGACTCGGCAGAAAGACGAGAGGAGATGGAGGTGGCCATGCAGCAGGTCGGACAAAACGTCTTCTATGAATGAAGTAGTACGAGATGTATGAGGGTGGTGGTGCCTGTGATCACTTAGTGTTTTGTTATTCCTTCAGCAGTTTAGTTTATGTGAGCTTGTCTCGGAATGTCGGTAGTATCTTCCTAGTGAGAAGTTACTGAGTACACCTTTCGCATATTCCAACAGTAAACTGGACAGAGAGGGGAAAGAGATTAAAAATGCCTCTGAAACAATGTGTGTTGAGTGTTGTATGCATAGTCATGATTATTCCTCAGTACTGCACAGTCAGACCTGAGAGGTGTGTCCTCTGTCCACAGGTGTGTGCTAACATCATGGAGTACTGCCAAACCCTGCTGCTGCAGAGCTCAGCACAGGCCCAGTTCAGCATCTGCCTGTTCAGCCCGTCAGGCAGCGAGCCAGCTGGCAGGGACGGAGGACGCTCAGGTCAGTGAGATTCTGCCAGTAGCAAGAAGAGGAAAAGGACTTTAAATCATGCGGCTGTATACCGTGTGAACAAGCATACTTTTAAACCCCTTTTAATGTATTAGTCGTCTCCCTTCTGTGAATTGTCCTTTTTTTTTGTTTTAACAGTGTCTGATATCTGATGAGAATAATGTTTGTTAGCTTTTACCACACATTAGCTTTTTGTGTCCAGCAGCACTTCTCGTCCACTTCCACAGTACGAGACTGAACCGTAGCTCTTATTTTTTTTTAAAGATCTGTCGTCCACTCTGCCATCGATGGCTTACTCCCGGGCCCCCAGCCTGGGGCTGGTCCTGTACCTGCTGAAGAACAGCGCTGCAGATTTCTTCCGGTTCCACCAGAGTCACAGACAAAGTCTGGGCAAGCTGCAGACCCTGGATCAGCTGCCTCCTGAGGAGCTGAAGGAGGTAATGAAGGACCAATACACTGATTCACTCTGTCTCACACTCACCACACTGCTGTACATGTTGGGCAAACTGTTCTCCTCTGAATTTTAAAAGTGGAAATTAAACAAAGGTATAAATATAAAGTAACTATTCTTTATTTTCGGCACCTTTTTTGGCTCCAACATGCATTGTCCTCAGTTCTAATCACATCTTCTCTGCAGTTGTGCCAAGGCCTGGTGTCGGGCCCCGGAGGGGTGGAGAAAATCTCATCGGTCCAGAGGAGCTTGCTGGCCAAGAGACGACTGGTCCAGCTTATCAACAACAGAGCCAAGCTGCTGTCCCTGTGCTCCTGTATCCTTTGGCCTTTTGCAGGCACAGTTTGTAGTCCCAGCACTCGCATATTGTCATCAGAATGTCATTTTATACCTGTCTTTGAAAGTTCTCTTCAGTCAGTTGGGATAACGAGATAGACATGTAGAAACGCCGCATCATGAAATCTCCTTGAAATGCCTTGACCGGCCTCTTCCTCAGATGTTATCGAGACGTGTCTGTTTGTGTTGTGGCGCCACCTGGAGTACTACCTGTTGCATTGCACTCCCACCGACCCCAAAGACTCCCTGATGCCCGGAGCTAGTCTGTATAGATCTCGCCTCGCAGACGGTGAGAAAACACGTTCCAGATATACGCACATGTTAAGCAGACCTGACATAATGAGCAGAAAACTCACCTGCAAAGCTATTGTTTCTAGTCTCTGGTTGTGGAATTGAGTGAATTTAGCTTAATGCATTTATTTCATTACATTTTTTTTGTTCTTCAGACTCGTTTGGCGGGTTGCAGGCAAGTGGAGGTCGTGGCCTCGGTCTGTCCAGAGTCAGCCAACAAGACCTCGACCTGGTAAGAAACGGCACACGTGGGCAAAATGTCTCATACACTTTGAATGCAGCTCTGACAAACATCATGTTGTGTGTGTGTGTATATGTTTACATGTGTTTCCACCGACATTACTCCTGATCCCTCTTGTCTTGGCTTCCGTTTGTGTGACTGCAGCTGAAGAGCGACATGGCCGCAGGTTTCGGGGAGGCTCTGCAGAGGAAGCTGCTGGAGGTGGAGGGTTTGTACAGCCAGGTTCGCTCCCGCTACACCTTCATCCAGGCCCTGGTTCGCAGGATCCGAGGCCTGCTCAGACAGCCCAAAAGCTGAGACAGACACATTACACATACAAAGACTCTCAAAAACCCAAACTCTGTTTCACATTGACTCAAAAATTCTGCCAAGCAACGCGGGAGAACTACCGAGGATCCCAACTTTCTCTCGGGTGGCTTTTTCTGGCAACATCGCTCCTTTTTACCGACCTGTTGCAGCTCCTCTCTTGAGTGTTGTGAGATGTAAACGCCATCATTGTGCATTCTTTGTGAGCTATCCTAATTTTGTTTGACTAGCGCTGTGCAAGTAGTGTTTCTCAAAGAAGCGGGGAAAAGTAACCGGCACAACACGCTGACAACATTTTTACTCATTATGATAATTTGATATTCTTATTGTTTGTTTTTCTTGTGAAAATAAAGTTTTTCTAAATCTGTTGAATACTTGTGTGTGTGTGTACGTACACGTACTAGACAGCAGACCATACAGTGTGTACACTATGAATGGAAAGGTTCTTCCTGTTTGAGGATTCTTTGTTCCGCTGACATTCTCACTTTGCAATCAGAAGCTACAGCTCGCACCATATCTTTAGGGCTTTACTTATCACATCTTCAAAGTGGTCACCACTTCTGACAAACAGACTACTGACTTCACCTGTTTCCATGTGCGTGTGTCTGGGGTGACTCATTGTGAAAAACATCTTACTGGGAGAAGCAAAACAAGGAACCAAAACAGGACATTTCTCTGTGAAAGTAGCATCACAGTGACTGAGGCGTCGCACTGATTTATATCGCCATGATAACACATCGTATGTCAAGCAGCAATGCAACATTACAAACGAGCAAGATCTCCATAGAGTATTTAATCGTTTTATTTTCTTTTAAGGTACACTTTATAAGACTGTAAAGTGCGTAGATTCTCAAACGTTTGAGGGGGGGGGCATAAAAAAAACTGGATATACATTCAGATCTTACAGATGGGTAGGTTTTGTGCTCTTGTTTTTTATTTGAGTATTTGAGGGAACGCATTGAGAGGGGTGAGACTCGGGCAAGGATTGAGCACAGGGGGAAACTCTGCAAACAACCATGTGTGTCGCTGTCACACTGAAGAACCGATGATGGGTTAGTGGAACATCTGCTCTCAGAAAGAAAAGATCTACCTACTGCGCTTCTTAGTTGACAGTCGGGGAACAAATTTGTGCTACTCTTTAACAGATCATGCTCATCATACTCTATAAATTACTTTAAATAATAAAATTAATTACAGCATTAAAAACATTGACATTTCTCGCACCAGCTTGCTTAATCGGATTGTTCTGCGTTGGCATTAAATAGAAAACCTGATGGCCCCTGTTCATCTTCCTTCTACATGGATCGAATGTCATGAATGTCCTGTAGATCGTCAAGCATTTACTTTCATCCTCCTCAGCTTTGCATATGAACAACTATCATCCATCTGTTATTATGCTATATAGAATACACCCGATTTCAGCGCGCTATTTTAATACAAACAGCACTGTCCGGGCCATAGATTTGGGAAATGTATGACAATACACATTGTTAGAGCATAGCGATTTGTGGCATTATACCTTTACTTGTCATGGAGAGTGCTGCTCAAGCTGAGGAAACAGTTGGATGATGTCACTATGATGTCATCAGGGTTATCTTGATTTAGGCTTTGTAGATCTGTCAAAACTTCAGCATTTAACTGGCTGGGAAGGCCTCATGTAAGTTGCTGGAGAGTTGCATTATGGGAATTGTAGGCTCCAGTGTGCTTAAGCTTGTTTTTTTTTTTTTACTTGGAGGATATCTTAGCCTCTGCAGCTTCGATGTTGACTGTTTTTCTGGATTAAATATAAAAAAGAACTTAAACTGTATTTAAAACTTGTTTGATTAGCAAACTAGTTCCTTTGCTTCATAGAATACACACTACAACAGGTGCAACCAATTGCAAAGCAGACAGATCAGCCAATGTGCATCCAGAGTTTGAAAAGCATTAGACAGATGATGACGTTTCACTGAGGGATGAGAGACGGAGACCGTCATTATTCAACCACATGATTACCTTTCACAGTTTTGGAAACATCTCCTCAAGCGATGAACGGCCAACATACTGTAAATACTTTATATCATACTTAGATGTTTTCTATGTTATCAAAACAAAGTCTGGGATTGATTTCTGTACATAAAAACACAAATGTTCCTTTTTGAAAAGGAAACATTTATACTGTACAGGGGTACGCAGAGTTGCGTTACAGCACCAGCAGACTAAATTCGGACCGTCCTTTCGCTTTGATTCACATCCTGTATAGGGCGCTGTGTACGGCTGTGGTATCCACTAGCTCAAGAGGAGCTGACACAGAGTCAAAGTCTTTATAGACTTTGAGCTGTCCTTAATGGAGCCTGTTTGAGGGAAGTTGATCAGTCCTGAGGCCCCTCTGCTCTAGTGTTGATAGCACCGGACACGTCCTTTAGTAATCCAGCACAGCTCTAGCAGTGAATTAGAAGTTCTTTATGTGGGTTTATGAGAAAATCCAGGAGACCAAATGGGAAACAGGAGAGTGGCAAGGAAGGGCAGCTTATCCAGCACAGATTTTCTTTTTCCACTTGTCTTTAAGGTTCAAGGACAGCATGGAGAGTGTGCATCTGCACATCCCGTCTTTCTCGAGCAATCCAAGCAGCAGTTGGCTTGTAGAAAACACACCCTTATGAGCTATCGGTACCCGCCTCTTGTGTGTTGTTGTTTTCCGTCATGTTGGCATTGCCCCCGTTGGTCTGAGGGCATTCGGGCACCTCTCCCGTCACCGCCACTCGAATCACTTTCAGCCAGCGCTGCTTGAGCTCCTCCGAATCGGCAGCAAAGTTGTGGGTGGACTTGGACTGGGAGAGGCGGAAGCTGGCAGGGGGGTCTGTGGGCCGAGCGCTGTCATCCACACTGTAGCCCAGGAGGGGGATAGTACACTGGGCCTTCACGTCCTAAAAGGAGAACAATCAGGGATGAAGAGAGTGTCATCTATCTGTATGCATAGATTTATAAATTCGTATGGGGAATCAAATGTTTCCCTTCATGTTCTCTTCATGTTTTACCTGCGGAGCGCCGTAGAGATAGAGCACCAGACTCTCCTTCTCGGGGATAACGCCCCACACCTTCTGCCAAGGTTTGTTCTTCTCACAGTACTGCAGGAAGCCGCACATGATGCTGCTGCCTGTGAACTGAGCCGCCTCGATCTGCACAGCGAGGACGACCGCATATTAGCAAGAGAATCACAAAGCAACTCAAGCAACTCTAAAATGTATGCATCAGCATCCCCTCCTCACCTCCAGGATGCCCTTCTTCTTGACCTCGGATCTCGTTTTTCCACTCAGGATAGAATGACAGTCTCTGCAGACTTTGTTCACCTTGTTGCCATCATATTCAAGCGCAACCTTATTGTCTGAACATTTCCAGCACACCACCTGCAAGAGAACAGTAGAGAAGATCTTTAAGCATCATTCAATCAACTATGACCATGCTTATGCTGTATTATTACTTTAATATATTATCTTATTTAATCCCTTTAATTCAAAGGTGACTAGTCTCATCAACATTTGAGTTCTTTGGTTGCTCTCGACTGCCCGTATGGACGCTCTCTCATGCATTGCGCGACGCTTAACAGCATCAAGACTACTTACATAGCCGCAGGCTCTGCAGTGGTGCCTCCGTCGTGTCAGAGCATTGAAAGACTCCCTGCACTTCATACACATTGTCACTTCATTGTCGCGGATCCAGCGAGGGGCACGCTTCCCCAGCTCTGCATTCTGTATCAAAATAAAAACGTACTCGGTGTTGACGGCAAAGAACAGTGACAGTTTAACTGTGCATGCAGCTGTGATGCAACACTGACCGACACTTCGTCCACTTCTCTCAGTGCATTCTTGAACGACTCGTTTTTCTGCTGGAAGATCTCAATGGTCTCCTGGAAAGCCTGAAGGACAACAACATCGGACTCAGGTGTCGCTCTTTCGACATGGCGTTCAAACATATATAGATATATATAATCAAATGAGAAAATGAAAGTATATTGATTGTACCTTAATCCAGTCTGCCTTGTCCTGCTCTGAGCTGAGGAAGACAAATAAAGCCATAAGCATTCAAACGTATTCATGTAAGTAAAGCTATAACTTTATGTGATAGTCCTGTTATAACACCAAGTCATACCAACACAGCAATTAGCTGTGGTCAAAGAGCATTTAGAGATTTACAGGGTTTAAATATGGCGTTTGAGTGTGCTTATAAGTGGTCTTCCATTTATATGTAAAATTATACTGTATAGGGTCCAGATTACCTACAATTACATACTTCAATGTGGGAGGAGCTGGGATGTTTTTGCACCTTACGGAGCTTGCAAAAAGGACATTTTTTGAAATGACCTCTTGTGTTATTTCTAATAATTCTGCATAAAATGTACCTGGCCTGCAGCTCCAGCATCCTCTCCTTCCCCGACACTTGGAAGGTGTGAGGGTAGTCCTCGTTGCTCGTTTCCAGGACCTTCATGCCGTCGATGCCGATCCGCGTCCTCACCGTGTACTTAGTCCCCCCCAGACTGAATTTGGGCACGCAGTACAACAGCATGTTGTTGAACTGGCAAGAACAAGAAACAAAAGTTTTTCACTGAGCATGGATCAGCGCTATTCCAGTTTAGCCTCCTGGCTTTGTTTTGTTCCGAAGGGGGCCGTGCTCAACACTGCAGGTAACCTGAATTACACAGATGGGAGACATTCAGCCTGAAGCTAATAAGAAACCGACCCGGACGTAATCGCATCATCTGGCAATCTCAGTAATTGAGAGACTTGCTCATGTGCCCCTGATGTGTCTTAACGCAGAGGTGTTCCTGGCTGGAAATTATTCATTTGTTTCAATTGACTTGCGCAGACAAAGTCTCGCCTCAGCACGTTTCCCTCATTAGATAAGAAGATGTTTTCATGCCTGACAGTTTCTCTCACCAGGAAGAGGTATCGCTCCATGGCTGAGGTGTTCCTGGCCGCCAGCTTCAGGATGTGGCCCTCCTTGATGAACTCGTTAGAGGGGTTGACAATGTCTTCCTCCTCACCCAGCATCTCGTGTATCTCCATCAGTTTCTTCAGATTCTCCTAAAATGAGGATGGGACATTTATGTTAGTTGGACGTTAATGTGTCTAAGATATTCTGTCTTATAAGTCTAAGAGAAAAAAAGGTTTAAGACGTCTGGACTTACAGATTTTCGAATGGCGCTGTTGGAGTGAGTAGCTGCTGTGGCGATAATTTCTAATGATTCTGTGGGGGGAAAAAAATTGATGGTTTACCTAAATATAGTGAGATAAAAAAATGACTCCTTGGAGTGGGAATTTGAAGTTTCTCGACTTACTCTCTGAATCTCGTCGATCAGGGTCGTCCTGAGGCAGCTTCTTCAGATAGTCTTTAAGCAGCATCTCATAGCGAGGGACTCTCTGCACGGGCTCCAACATGTGGTGCTGAAGCGTCAGGAAGCCACAGACCTCTTGACTCTGTCCAGGAATAACCCCGAAAAAACTAGAATTAACGGCAATACCAACCAGTCATGTTGCAGTTGTTTGTCCCAAATTTCATAATTTTATCCTATGAAACATTTGTGTAAAATTGTCATAACATCAGAGTGATTTTGCAATAATAAAATAGCATTTTTTTCCTGGACTGGAATTTGCTGTGCAGTACCTGTATCTCCTGAATGATGGCCTTGAATTGAGGCGAACGATCGGTCCACTGTTTCAGCAGCTCCATGGCATTTTCGAAATTCTTCACGTACTCTGCGTACATCTTGAGGAAGGGTGTGAGTTTCTGCAGGATGTCTCCGATGCGAGGTGTGGACTCCCTGCGGGGGGGAAGGGAGAGATATGAAGTGAAGGAGGTAAATAATGTAACCACATTGTTCTGGTTTGTATCTGTTTGTTTTTTTTTTTATCATTCTCATGCTTCTGTGTACATGCGTTTGCAGCTGTGTTTGAGAGACAATGTGCAGGCAGCTACAGTTTCATACAGAACCCCATCGCATTTATTGTCATTTAATGAAGCTCACCATTCTCCCATGCGTTTCTCCAGATCTGGAAGCAGAAACTGGCTGTGAAAGGCATTGATGGAGCTGATGTTGGAGAAGATGTTCTTCACTACGTCCACAGGGAACGTCCCTTTATTTGCCTCCTCCATGAGCTTAGCACAGAAAACCTGAAAAGAGTTGTGTACAACGCAGAACTGGTAAGTGACAAACGATTGAGAAGTTAATAAGGTTTCCCTCCTTGTGTCGTGTAAACCGCATTTCATCAGACTCGGTCAAAAGAACAGAAGTGAACTGTCGCTTTCACTGAGTTCCTCACCTGGTCCAGCAGGTTAAGTCGCGTTACGTAGGCCTTCTCTGTGTGCAAGAGCTCACTGGCGATCTTAAACAGCTTCTGTTCATTTGTCTCCTGAAAACAGAGGGTATTAATCGGAGTCTTTACACGTGTGGCAATCCTAAATAAAATCTGGTCGTAGATGAATGAGTGAAGTATGAAAGTAAGTGAGATTATTCTGTTGAGCCAGAGAGTCAGTAGTCCGTATAATGACCGTTTCAGACTAATCATTTTCTAACGAGTGATTGATCGTAAAGGAAAATTGGGCCTGATAAGTTTTTCAACACAGCGACTGGATTTAAACTGAGCTGAATGAGAATAATGCAGAAGTGTGGGACAACATGTCTGAAGCGCATTCATTTGTTTCAGCTCAGTGCTCATTCCCACTTCATTGTCATTTGCAAGTTCCTGTCTGGTTTCAGGTTACTGATCTCATCTACGTGCTGCATTTTCTGTATTTCAGTTAAAAAAAGTTGACTGTAAATCATGCATTCATTGTATGATTCAGGCTAAACGCCTCAGTGACTCGTCTGCTGTTGTCTGCGCAGCCTTTGTGTTAAACCTTGTCTCACTGTTGCTGCATACAGCAGCATGTAGCACTGGTGTGTTTGTGTGTGTGTGTCCTTGACACTGAGCTGATGTTGGGCCGGGCTGTGGTGCAGCAGGAGCCCTCAGAACAGGAAATGCAATTATGGAAGAAGGGAAATGACACCAAATCAAACAGACACGATTACGTCTAACAGAGCTTAGTGTGAGAGGCCGATCGATGTAACAAACTGTAGCCTCATAATTTACTCTACAAAACATCTCCCACACATACTGACACTATATATAACCACAAAGAATTAGTATCCTCCTCTCAAATGATCTGACAGCAATCAGTCTCATATTTCTACACAATTCACTTGTCAATACATCCACAGTGTTGCTAATTCTCTGAGACATTATTTTTCTCAAGGTGAAGGCTCAAAGTTGTTAAATATTTGAAAAAAACATATGCCAAGCATATGTTTAAGCGTTTACAATGCATTGTTACAGATGAAACCAGCTGTTCCGTATCTTTTAGACTTGTGACCCCTGACAGAGAAGCAGTGTGTAGTCGGGGCCCCTCCTCATGTTTCAGATGTCTATGAGTTGTTAGCAGTTCCAGAGTGAAACTTGTCCGATCGCTTCATTTCAGCAACTGCTCATGGCCAAAATTTGTTTTCAATATTCCACATAAAATGCAAATATTAGAAAAGAAAAATCAATTATTCTTTCCTGCCCCACTAACAATCAGCTCACGACCCCTCAGGTATATCTTGTCACCCATTGAAGGGTCCCACCACTGGACTTAACGAGCACTTGTCTGCAGAACACATTTTTAGTCCGATAAATATCCTCAAGTGATGTCACTTCAGTCGTTGTCAGTTGGGGCTGAAGACTATAAGTTTGAAAACAAAAGAATCTGGAGATGTGGAGCAGGTGGCTCCTCATCTCTACGTGAGGCTAGTGGCTCGATGCTACATTAGCTGCTAACATAACACACCTGAATCTCTGACCAAACTGCCAGCGGCCAATTTGATTTGTGGGTAATGTAGGCGCCAATTTTTGACAAGGAAGAAGAATGCTTGAAATAAAAATCATGACATCTGTGGCTCTGCTCCATCTACTTGATCCTTTTTTTTAAATTGTCTCTTTTTTTTTTACAGTGTGCAGTTAATACTAGGCTTTTACTTAAATGCAGGACTTTTGCTTGAAGTGTGTGTTTTTTTAACATGGTTTTATTGGTACTTTTGCTTAAGTAAAGGATCTGAATACTTTGTTCCACCAACGCAAAAGGCACAAATAAAGGGCAATAACGTGGCAGAGGTATCGAAGAAGTTGTTTTAAACTAGCCAACACAAAGAGAAGCTTTACCGTATGTTAATTCAATATGTTTCCAAACAGCACAAAGAAATTATCAGAAATCCAATAATTGGAACCAAGCTACTCAAATTTTATATATGTAATATCTTGAGTAGGGATTAGATTTGACTGGAGAACATGCAATGTCAGCTTGTCAAAGGTCCCTTTCAAGTCAGACAGCAACAGCAACAACTGAACACTGGGGTGAATGAAAGCACTGTTCATGGCTCTTCCTCTCTCCTACCATAGAGACTGCTGTTTGACAGAGATTAATCTGAACCTGAGATATTTATAATCTGTACGGGGGGGGCATGAACTCAGCTGCTCAAGCGTTGGACATCTGTTCAGCTTCCGTAGAAAATAACCGCTCAGACACACACACACACACACACACACACACACACACACACACACACACACTCTGTAACTCTACCCTTACGATGGTGGAGTGACCCAGAGTTTAATTAGTTCAGAAGATTTAATTGTGCTGAAAGCCCAGAGCATGAATAAATGCTGACAGTTTGTCTTTCAGAGACTGCAGAGTCACAGCAACGAGGCAGCTGTCTGTAAATATATAACACAAAGGATGTAAATACACAGACCACTCGGGTGCAAGGGCAACAAAGTTAAACGTACCTTGTGGTCGGTGCTCCCTTCTTCGTTCTTATGCTCACTTTCTATTTCAGTTCCACTGTCCTCCTTCTCAGTGTGGCTTTCTGTAGCAGTCCTGTCTGTTTGTGGAGGTGAATGATCACCAGTCTGTTCTGTGCTCCTGCAATCACCGTTTACCAGCTCAGCAGTCTCTATCCTCACACTGTCACTGTTCGTCTCCGGGATATCCACCATGTCCTTGTCCTGCTCCATCTGAGCTAGCGTCCCGTTAGCCGTCGGTTCGTGGGCATCCTGCGGCGAGGTGGGTGCGGAGGTGTGGTTCTCCTGAGTGCCGGCGGTCTCCGTCTGCTTCTGGTAGGCGCGGTGAGCCGGGCTGCAGTTGGACGACTTGCTGGTCTGTTTGAGCGGAGAGCTGTCTCTCTTGTTCTCTGTGCCGCTGGAGGAACAGAGGGACAGGAGGAAGTTGGTCAAGAGCACAAAAAAAAAGAGAGTTAACTAACAAGAACGTTTGAGAAAAAGGGAAAAGAAGTAGTAGAAAAATTACAGGAGTCGGTTCAGTAGCTGCTCAAGCCTGCATGTTTGATCGGGGAGAATGGACGGTAAGCAGAGAGGTTTTGCACTCGAGTGTGAGAGTTAAAAATAAAACTGTGGAGATGCACAAACTTCCTTCTGTCTTATGAGGCTGCTGAGAGCTGGTGTACTGCAGAGGAAGTGTGTGTGTGTGTGTGTGTGTGTGTGTGTGTGTGTGTGCAGAGCAAAGATGGAATGGAGGTACAGTAATGAGGAGAACAGGAGGAGGGGGAGAGGTACAACACTACTCCCCAGAGGTAGATGCTGTCCTACTTCCAAGGAGAACCCACATTATATATACATACACTGTAACATCTCTACCATTCTTTGCTTTAACACGAATGAAATGAAACTGTTTGCACGAGACAATGTGAAATACAGCACATGGACGGAAGCAAGATTAACACAAAAAACACACACACATTATGCATGTACAATGTCACCATTCAGCTGCTCTACATCCTGGGCCGGTAGTCAGTCCAGCTGTTTCCCTGTAAATTACCCTCCGGACCTCCAGTCTTACAGCAAGCGGCGACCTACAGCAGCTACTGTATCTTAGCTCTGTTTTGCTGCTCTCACATCTCTTGTAGAACTGTCGGATCTAGGCAAAACTGATAGCACTTACTATTTCTAGCAGAAAGAAAGAAGCAAGATATATACTATATATGTGATCTAACCTTTACAAAAAACACCAGCCAAGCAGGTGAATTTTTAGCCTCTGCGACGTTCAAATGTTGTGCTTATCAGTGTCCAGTAGAAACAGGAAGTATATATAAATAGAGGAACAACAGCGGGCTGGTGAAACACTCCACATATGAATCATTTCTGGGCTGTCGGGCCACCTGAGTGTGTTTGAACGTAAAACGATGTTATCCACAGGAAGACTGAGTAATACCACGATTAGCTGCAGTTTAATACCGTTTTCAGAGAAACACACTTTGTGGCGTGTAGGTGCAGTTCCTCTCTTGCATATAAATAGCACAGTAAGCGCTCCAGTACATGGCAGAGTTTTAAAATAGGCTGAACTATAGGCGAGAATTAAGAGCAGCTTCACTTGCCATGTGGCAGTCCTGTGCCTTTAAGTGCCATGTGAACCAGATTAGTATATTAGTAGGCTAATTCTGTTCTCGGAAGCTGGGGGCCTTTCTCTTCTTTCTGTTCCAAGGCCACTAGAGGGCTAATCCCCACAGAGTCTGAATGAAAAGGATACACCCAATTTCTCTGATTAACCTGCACATCAACACTGTTAAATGTGATAAAAGGTGAGGTGAAAGCCTGGGAATGAGTTAGATTGTGTAACTCTGTTCCCAGGGATTCCAAGCCAGTGATGAGTTTGAATATGAGGCTACTAGAGGCTGAAGATACTGAGTGAAATTTTAGTGGGCATGCTTCTGCTGCAGATCGAATATTTTTTGTCTTCAACTGTATGAGCAGCTGGGACAAGGGCACCATTGTTGTGCCTCTCGCTGCTTTCAATGGGCCTCTCTCGCATAGACAAGGCTTCGGCTACAACCAAAACTTACATGACTTGTAATAAATCAAGAAGTGATGCACCAAAAAAAAAGAAGGGGGAAACAGTGGTAAGCCAACAGCCAACAGCATACTTAAATCACCATGTAACTATGAGGCAACAAGATCAAAGTACAGGCATTCAAGTTGAGACAGTGGGAGGGATCCTACCTCATTCTCCTGGGCTTCATCTCGCAACACTGAGTCCTGTCCCACAACTGACTGAGGATCTGTGTTTCCCCTCGCCTGTACAAATCTCCTTTCATCCCCTTTGCTAACGCTTGGCTTGCGAGGCAAGTGGCTAATCTCAGCTTGTTCGGTCTATGCCTCTCGTCTGCGCCACTATCAAGTGAGTCAGGCTGAAGACTTAAAACGAGGGACTTCTGCTTTTCATCCCTGAAATAACCGGCATAGGAAACATTAGGAAAGACAACGTTTTCCGTCACTGTGATTACGAGAGCCAGAGTGAGGTTGTGTCGTTAGAAAAGCTATGAAGCGGCGTAGATAGAGTTATTCAACCGGAACCATTGTGTCATGGTAAAAAAAAAAGAAAAAAAAAAGGCACACACACCAACAGAGAGTAAAGAGCCCCTACCTGTTCTCCTCAAAGCGGTTGATGAGGTCTGAGACTTTGGAGTGTTTCTCCCTGACTTTCTCCCGGTTCACAGCTCCTCTCCCTTCTCCTCCTCCTCCTCCTCCTCCTCTCTCCTCCATGCCCGGTTTTAGTGGTGCTTTCTGGATGTGGCCCAGCGGGGACTTGACCTCCGTCACCGGGCTCTGGAGATGTGACGGCTTTGGAGGCACTGCAGAGAAGACGGAGAGAACACTTTGAGCATTAGAGACTGTCTTGGATGCTGGTAGATTCAGATGATTGCCTTGTATTTTTCTCATGATGTCTCTGCAATGTCGGTTTGGACCTGAAGAGGGCGGTATAAGCTACTCCAAATGTTACCACACACACAGACAGGGCACTGAGCTGTATTTAACACCCTGAAAGTGACAAACAAGTGACCCAGCTCAGCATAGAATAACTGGGCAGTTTTACTCGTCTCACATACATGTTTTAGGAATCAAATTCCCTGCGTGATTTACAGCAACAGAAAGAATGGAGCTCTGTCTCTCGTCTTATCTGTGTAGAATGATTTACTAAACTCAAAGAAAAAAAAAGGAACAAGGCTCAAGGTTCACCGATCCGAAGCAAATTTACATAACTCTATTCCTGTTTTCACTGTTTCCCTGGAGTCATGTACTGTAAGTCCTCCGGTCAGACAGTGGGAGAAAGGGTCACTGGAGAAAGAGCAATCAGCGTTCACATATGAATCACAGACTTGTGTCCACTGACGCTCCCACTACGCAGTGTTTTTGCCGAACGGCTGTGAGCTGTCGTCGTGTACCTGTTGGTTTAGAAAGCAGCCGGGGCCTGCAGCAAGAGCTTCTTCCATTGACCCCCCCCCTGCTCTTGTCAGTCGTCCCACCGCCCGCTCGACTCAGACACGCCTGCACACTGGGTGGGTTGCTGCGCTCGCACACCGGGCTGCTGCCGAGAGCTGAAGGACACAGAGAGAGAGAGAGAGAGAGAGATAGCACGTCCATTACAACAAGAACATCTCATCATCTCTTGTTCGCCGTCAACGAAATGAGATTGATGATACAGATTATGAGAGGCTCTTGATAAGACAAAAACAATATTGTGACGTTGACAACAGGTGACAGGAAATGAGAGATGGTGAATGACTAAGTCGAGGACCACCTGGACACCAAACTACACTCGTTTTAACCACGAAACACTTTGGCACAGACTCCTGTGTCACAAATGACACTACACAAATACTGTACGTAGCAACAGTGCATTGTTAGATACACAGGCACCAGTACTGTCTCTCAGATGATAGTGAGGCACGGCTGTATCCTTTCTTCTTTCCACACTTGTGAACTATGAAAATGTTCGTCTTTCTGGCAGTTTTTCATTTTGAAAATGACAGTAAGATATGAACTTTCCCGTTGACGCAATAGTGCAGATGTATGGAAAAAGCAATGTTTTGGTATATTTGACCTACAGTAAGTGGGATTGCAGTTGTAAAGGAAATGGTGTAAACACTCAAGAACTAAAACAAACTAAGTGTGTCTCACACACAGAGAAAGAATTCCTCTCATATCTCATCCCTTCATACTACAGGGCATACTATACATATTCATTGCTGCAAATATGCTTATGATTAAACAGCTGCAGGCTAAATATTAAAAGACTGTCAGACAGTTCAGTTGATTATCCAGCTAATGATCCAATTGATGATCAGCTCCGGCGGGGCTTTTACCAGCTGGCCACAGATGGTACAGCATCGGTGTTTAGATAGAGCAGACAGACTAATTTAATGGCGCTACAGACACAGACTGGCAGTGTTTACAGCAGCCTGAATATACTGTGCCTCTCTCTCTCTCCCTCTAAACCTCACAGCGCACACACATGCACAACCACATGGAAGTGAAACGTGTGTACTTCGGCAAATCTCCATATATGGTACTACAATGCCAGGAGCCAGTCGGCGCTCTCATTATTTTACATGGTATACGTCCATTAGTCTCCATTTAAGGTGGTCACTTCAATGCGTGTGTGTGTGTGTGATTTAACAAGTGGCACTGATGTATGAGTTGGATGCAGAAGTCGATGCAGTTTAGCTTAGCTTGGTTAACAGGTATGGATTAACAGTGTGTGTAGTGGAATAGCTGTAGACTGGAGCTTAAAGGATACAGACTTGCACTTTCAAAAAAACAAAACTTGCGACTATTTGTATTTGTATCTGTTCTGTTTTCAAGGTCCACAGTACACGGCCTGGAAAGTTAGGTCCTCCTCCTCCTTTTGGCACTGCTCCTAACATGTAGAGAGACATTTCCATCCCTGTAATATTAATGATTGATAAGAGGTCTAAATTCCTTGAAAGACACGGTTTCAGGTCCCAAAATAGATCAAACTAAAAGCATCTGTGCTTTGAGAAAAACACAGGAAAATAAGATCACTCTCTTTTAGAAAATGATCTGGTATGAGCTAAAAACGATTCGTCGATTATTCCATTAACAGAAAATGTATCTGAAACTATTTTATTAGTTAAGCAACAGCTAATTGACATTACCAAGGCCCAGCCGCTCGTGCTGATGTTCTTGGTCTTATGTGATAGTAGATTGATCGGTTTTAAGTTTTGGACTATTGAATAACTATTTGAAGATTGTATTTATTTATTTTAATTCAATTTATTTATTCATTTATAATTAAATAATTATTTTTTTACATTTTATAAGCCAAATGATTAGTCGCTTATTCGAGAAAATAAACGGTAAATTAATTGAAAATGTAAACGATTGTTAGTAGCAGCCCTAAAGTATATGAACAACAGTGAAACACATATGTACTATGTAGTGTTCCCTAGTGTTTGTTTGCTACTACGTGCCAAAGCAGCGCTTGGGGCCCCTTATTTATTTTCCCTCCAGTTATCTTGATCTTACCAGTCTAGAAACAGAAAGAGAAAAACAACAACCACAGAATCACATAATCACAGTTTCTATTTTTACAGCCTAACTGTAATTAAAGACAACAGCTCTCGCAACTGTCTGGCTGGAAACGGTCCCACGCTGTGTTCGGGAGAGCAGGCTCTCTAAGCATGGCCCCAGAATTACCAATTATCAATTCTAAAGTCGGCCTCAGGAATTTCTCTTTGATTATGTGCTTGGCTTCCCCTCGTGGCCACATTAAGAGATCATAAGAAAATATCCAGCAGAAAGTTATGCACCCTATTATACATAAATGGCTAAAAATGAAGTCTCCGCCTGCAGATTGTGCTCCATATAGGGCATTTATCCTGGGAGATTGCAGGGGGTCCACTCTCCACAGCCTGGCTCTGTCTGCCAGGGTTGTTATTAACTCAGTCAAACACCAGTCCCTCAGCTTTAAATCACCTCAGTGCTGGAGGCTTTCACTTGAACCTCAGCAAACTGTGCAGGTATTTTAAGTGCTACTGTTCAAGAAAAGCACAGAGATGTGAATGGAGATACAAATTTGTTTGGAGATGCAAACATATTTGGCTTTCTTCTGTCAATTGCTTGGAAAATGATTTTGAGTTAAGATCAGATCAACTGTCTTTAAGCTCTTATCTGAACCATTAAGGCAAAGAAACACAGCCGGTTCTGTGACAATACAAACAGGAACTTTGCTTTCTCGGAAGCGGCGTGCTTGCCAGGAACTGCTGGTAATGCGCATTCTGGCATCTTGTCATTACTGAAGCTGGCTTGGCACAAGTGACAGACCACCATGTGAATTAGTAGCAGCCAGCCGCCACCCTACAGCAACACTTTGATTCACCGCCTCCATCTGTGTGACGGCGAAGGAGCCCTGTTGTCTGAGACTTGCTTAAGTGGATGATAGAAACAACAGAGGAACTTCTGCTGGACTAGTTTCATAAACACCAAGGAAGTACTTTATGTGATGTCACTTAATATCTTTGTATCCTAACTGATGGCATCACGACGGCTCTTTCTACATCTGCTTTGCATAGAAACCGGAACACTGTCGCTGCAGTCAAGGAAGCTGGGAGTTGACAAGTCAAACTGAGAGTAGACCTTTGCCTCCTTGTCCTTGTTGGAGGATGGTTAGACTTGCTGCCATGGCAACTATCCCGTTACCTTCTGAAGATTGACTTCACTACTGAAGTGGACTGAGCCTGAAGGCATCCGCTTCAACCTCAATACATGCAAAACCGCACAGCGAGTGCTACAAACGAGAAATGCTCTCGCATTCAGCAGCAGTGTAGATGAGAAAAAGAAAGACTCGTGCAAAATGCTGCTTTGCAAAGAACCCAGCGTCTGTTGATTTCACAAATATCCTCCACACGTGAACAGCATCTTCCCTTAATGTGCGAGTCTATCAGGAAGACGAAGACATCCGAGCAGACCCATCTCCCTTTCAAAGAGAATCAACAAGGTTTACACGAGAACGTGTGCGGCCAACCTTGTGGTGGCACTACAAGCATAGAAGACATCACACCCACCCACACACACCCATCGATAGCCCTACAGCTCTGCCACATCAAAGCAGTGGAGGAATGAGGCTGAAGGAATGTATCACTCTCCGACACAAAACATCTTTCTCCGCAAAACAAAAAAGAGGGTCCGAAAATAGTGAATCATCCCAACTAGTGCCGGGGAAGCCAAGGTTGGTTTGTTGGTCAAACACTTTGGTCCTCAGCAAAAATAACTATTGGATGGATTGACTCAATCGTGTACAATCTGGTGCAAAGTTGTATGGCAATCATAAAGTTATTTCCTTATTTGTTTTGGTACTCACTTTTGTCTCTTATTTCAGATACTTCCTCCCCTCCTGTGTTCCTCGCTGGTGTGATTACTCACCCTGATCAGTTTCACCTGTACGTAATAACCTCCCTTTGGTATTTAGCCAGTGTGCTCCCTTTGTCTGTGCCAGTTTGTCTTCACTGTTTGAGTGAGCGGTCCAGCAATTAGTTCTGTATTTTCATGGTGTTTTTGACTTTGACTCTGCCCAGTGCTTTTTGGTACTGCTGTCTCTCTTTATTGGACTCCTCTGAACTTCTGTATTTTTGCCAAGTAAGGGCTTTTATTTGTACTTTTTGTCTCTGACTTGTTCTTTTGAGTCTATTTCTCGCTGTTTGCCTGTGTAGCCTGATAATCTGGAGCTATTCATGGCTCAAAACCGACTCCATGAGCTTTAAAAAAAAAAAAAGCTTATTTTTCAAAGAAGAGCACCATGCGACCAATGTCAGACACACTTTCTTGTTCTTTTAAAGCAGGGGTCTTCAATGTTTTTCAGGCCAAGGACCCCCAAACTGATAGAGAGATGGAGCAGGGACCCCCGACTATATATATTGTATAAAATTGTGTTTTATATTAAACTGGGCCTAGTGCCATGTATAAACATACCTCTTTATTGTGCATTCAATACTAAGCTATTCAAATAATACACAGGTTCATATATTCATGTTTTTATTTTAAACATGTGCAAGGTACAGTGAGTAGGGTGGCCATGCCACTGCCATTTAGAAACATACCTTGTCAGCTGATACCAATGCCAATATCAATATTGTCTGTCAATTGCATGATAATCCTTCATACAAGCTATTCAAATGGCCTATTAGTGCCACTGCCATGCATAAACATACCTGTTATCTTGCATACAATACTGAACTTTTAAAATAATGGAAAGATTCATGTTTGGGAAAAGAAAAGAAGAAAAAGAATTGTCTAATCAACCAAAACGTTCGCGGACCCCCTGTTGAAGACCTCTGTTTTAAAGGAAACAAACTCCTTTAAAGGAAACAAACTCCTTTAAAGGAAACAAACTCCTTGTGGCTGTGGGTAGGTGTGCCACTCTGTTAATCTCAACTCAGCGTCTCAGTCAAACACTATTAAGTGAACCTTCGAGACATTTCTACCTCATGACGTCACCACCTCCCTGATAGTGTTTTCACCTGACAGTTGCTCGTCCAAAACCCCCTTTGGTAAAATGTGTACTAATACTTCAGTGTGAGAGCTCGAGGGTTGAATTAACAAAACAAAAAGGCACACCTGTGAGTGTTTTGCAGTGCGTCCCAACCCTGCTAGCAGCCGAGTGTGTGTCACAGTTTGAAACCAAGGCTTCGCCTTCTCGCCTCGTGGCCCGACGTTCATATCAAAAGGAATGTCTGAGAAGGCTTTTTACCAATTCTGCCACTTCTTAATGCATGGGTTGGCATATTAAAAGATCGTCTGGGTGGCTTCCACACAGCTATAGCAACGCCTTAAAATATGAAAGGAGACGGATAGAAGAAATGTGAGCGAGCTGAAGCAAAACAGTCATGTCCAGAATATCTTCACATATACAGTCTTCAGTTGGCCATAAATCAGCTCGCAACTGGTGTATCATGGTTGAAGTACAAATGGGTAAAAGTCTGAATATGTAGGCTATTTATCATATAAAATGCCCTGCTACTGTAGTAAAGATTGCCACATCAACGTACATTGGCAGATAAAAAGAGCAGGTCAACATGAGAGCATGCAAGCTGGTTCTAGACATCACAAAGTGTGATTTCATCTAAAATCAAAGAGAGAATTAGAGGAGCCCAAATTTCAGAGGAGGCAATCCAAGAGGACTCGAACAGAGAAAGTATAATATTCTGTTAAGTTAAAAATCCCAGTGAAAGAACTCACCCTGGACTTTGAGACAGACGGGAAAACAATTGCAGAGTGTATCCTCAGTGAGGGACCACGCTGTGTTTGTGAGAGTGCGTGAGTCCCAGAAGAGCACTAAATTTAGGTCCCATGCAATCTTCCCAGGCAGCGCCACTGAGTGACTCAGCCGAGAGAGAAGACTCGCAGAGCAGCTCAAGACTCCTCCTTCACTTTCACTCACACACACCCTATTTAAGTGGCTTTTTAAAAAAGTATAGAAACACACACACACGTACCCACAGGTTGACAACACACACCTCAGGAACGGACAGGATCTGCACGTTTACAGTTTAAAAGTTGCAAATCTACAAACGTCTTGCATAACAGTCTCTACACTTCTCGTTCTGTCTGGTTTAGTCTGATCAATGATTAACAAACACCACAGTGAAGCAGCCTGCAGTGCCACGCACCAGTTCTCTCATCTGCCTGCTAAAATCTAAATCAAGCCCAAAGCCTCAAATCTATTGTTTTAAACCATCGTCCCGTCAACTTCTTCTCCTCTGGCGCATTTTCTGTGCAAATATTCGAGACATTAAAACAAGACAACCGAGAAGAACCAGTCGACAAACTGAACAAGTCGACACAAGTGAAAAGTTATGCGAAAGGTGCATCTGATAAAACCAATAACAACATACGAGTTAGAGAAGAGGAAACAAAGATCCAAAGAACAGGCTATTTAGCAGCATGAACTTGATGTACCTTTTGCAGAAGTCAGTACAGGGAACTGCGACTTTAGGTTCTCCATGTTCTGTTTCTATCCTGTGAGCAGAGCTGCTCCTGTCTGTGACGGTCAGGCTCAGAGGTGCCAGTTCGTTTGAGTAATTGCTGCAATGGACAGTGTTATACATCAACTTTGAGTCATCGCATGGGTTAAAAAAAACAAAAAAACAGAACTATCCCAGCACAGGAAGCCTTAATTTAAATCTAGCGGCTATGATATTACATAAATAGCTTCTTCTTGCTATTTGTGAATATGTGAAAGCTATGTGTGTGTGTGCTTGTTTCGCATGTATATATTCACACACATTGCTCCTGCATGCTCACTAGCGTGCGTCACGCGTCACCAGAGCAGGATTAAAAGGAATGATAGGCATTCCAGTAAACCAGTTTGACCAGTAGAAATTCCATTCACTAAATGCCCTTTAAATAACCTGAACTTGCAGCAGCACAGTAGTTCAGTTAACATTCCAGGTGAATCTTGTCACCGAAGATTACAAAACATCCTGAACGACTGCATCCTGAATGAATGCAATGGTGACGAGAACTGCATTCTCATGCTCACATATCGGTGGTGCAACAAACACTTGATGCAGCCAACCTCCTGCGACCTTGTTGTTGGCAGGGTCTCACATACGTTCAGCATTCACTGGTGTCATCAGAGATGCTGCCAGTGGCATCCGACCTCTGACCTCAAACATTGGCTGCACAGACATGCACTCAAACACTTCCTTACACTGACTGTTACACAGGAAATCCAGGAAGAGCACATGGTTGAATGGCACCATTAACCAGCTGTTTAGCTGCAGAATTGGCTTATTTATTTATTTTAGTAGATTCATCTATTTTAGGCACAAGAACACATCTCTTTCTTTTCACATTTCCCTCTCCTTCACATGCACAAACAGCAAAATGCATACACGGCAAAAGAAGCCAGGTTTCTCCCGCCGTGTTAACCTGTTTCTCACATCATGATTAAAGAGACCTGTTTCTCATTAACGATCATGATAACCAGGTTACTTCAGTGCAAGTACACACAGGAGGTGCGAGAATAGTTTCAGAGGCACATACTAGATACAAGGACAAAGTGACACTAACTGCTGTTTCCCACCTTACAGAGTCACACACAAGCAACACAAACTGACACACACACACACACACACACACACACACAAGGCCCAGTTTCTAACCATTTCTGGTGCCATACATCACTCAATGAGATTAGAGTGTGTCTGGTGTATCACTTGTACATGAAGCATTCATTGTCTCCATCCTGTTGGCTCAGACAGTGTGTGTGCGTGTGTGTGTGGGTGTGTTTGTGAGAGCCTGTGTGACAGACAGGGTGACAGATAACTATTACCACCAGGCATGGGGGATTAGCTGTCTCTGTTCAACTACCCAGACTTTCTTCAGATTAACCCTGCCTCATCCTCTAATCCAAGGGCGAGCGTGAGATTAGAACCCCAGTCTGTGCTGAACCAGGAGGCGCACAGGGGAACATAACTGTCGGGGGGGTTGTCGTGATGAAAAAGAAGGTGGAGGGTGATGGAGGTGAAAGAAATTGGAGAAAAGGGAAGTGGAGACTGGGGATTGTATAAAGAACTGGACACAGTGGTCTTATTTCACAGCAATGAGCTAAAGACAGACGGTGAGAAAAAAAAAGAAACTGCTGAAGAAAAATAGGATAAGAGGAAGGAACAGTGAGGGCTTGATGGAAATAGACAAGCACAGAGAAGACGGACCGACGGAAGAGGGGTGAAAGGATACAGAGGGAGTGACAGGAGAGGATGAGACGGTACACATACAGAGGAGGGAAAATGATGAAAAATAGTGAAAAATAGGAAGACACTGGGGGCTGGAGGAATGCATCCATTCATCACACAGATGCAGGCTGTGAGCCACACACACACACACACACACACACACACACACACACACACACACACACACAGGTTTGATATAAAAATAGAGCAGAGACCAGCAGCTTTCTTCACACCCCTGCTGATGGGAGGAGTGCTCTGCCCTTCACAGCACTCATCCTGCATCCCCTCTCTGCATATCAACCTGGTCTTAAAGTTCACTTCACTGCAGCCGTAAAAGAAGTAGAAGATTTTGCCAGATTTGGTGAAGTTAAAAAAGATGACTGAACGGCTTAAAATCCCCCGAGTGATGCTGTATTGACTTCAAATGCCAAACATGTGCCGTGAAATCAGAAAACTGACAAGTAACAAAGCTTCGCATCTCAATTCGGCTTGTGGCGGCACCACTTCTCACACATCACAAGACGAGGACGGAGAAGAAGAGCTTAAAAACACCAGCTCAAACACAGACAGACAGGAAGCCACAGAAACCCTCTCGCACAAGTGAGCTGTGAGAAGCTACACACCTTTCATTTGAACACCCGGAGCGGCTTTATGGGACAAAATCATCAAACAAACAGCATTAAAAAAAAAGCAGGACGGCGGCTGTAAGGTGAGTGCAGGTGATGCTGCTTACCTCTGGAGTGTTCGATTTTCACCGCCACGCAGGCCTCATCAGCGTTCTTGGACTGGAAACAGTCAGCTTTGCCTTTCTTCTCTGCAACAACAAAACGCAACACAATTCACCATAAAAAGAAGAACGAGCAGACGTTTTGAATACTCATCTGAGGCAGGAGCTTCAAGCTGTTTCAGGAACCCCCCCCCCCCCCCGTTTTATTTAAGAGGAGCACCGACTCGGTAATAAATAGAGCCACACCGTCTCTTATTTTCCAATAGCTGAGACAGCATGCTGGACATGCTGATATTTGCGGCAAAAGCTGCCACGGTTTTGAAGCGCTCTTCTGACAGCAGCATTTATCAAGATCAGGGGTGGACTTGTGTTTGTTTTCAGTATGAAGAGGGAACACATCTCCCCTCGGAGATGGAAATCCTAATTAGTCTGTCTGTGATATGTAGGGCACAGTCTGCAGGGAGAGCGAACACTCTTTCAACACAGCCGTTTAATATGCACATAAAACATTAAAGCGAAAATAGCAACGGTCGTAAATACAATGATGGGCTAAAACACACTCACACACTCTGTCTGATCTAATATGAAGCATCAAAGCTGTAGGATGATGATCAATGTAGCTGTTGACATGCAGCAACATGTGCAAGTGACAAGCGGCACAGCTGTACAATTGCTCAACAAATTAAAGTTGACCTGACTTCATTCCACTTTGTTTTTTCTCACTCATCGTGTTGGCAATGACATAAATTGATGATGACATTGTCACCAACCAATTACAACAGTGAAAAACCTGTTTCATTGTCTTATCAGCCTCATTCTTTCCGTAATTACCTAACGAATAGAGGACGGGTCATAGTCTGTGCTCATCAAACCATCAATGAACTGTAGAATCACTACAGGCTGCAAATCAATGTGTCTCTGTTTTGTTTAGACATGTAATTATTTATTTGTGACAATATCCTGTGGGTCTATTTACACACATTTTGTCATTAGATTCATCTTTTAGTAGACTGTCTATGCATCACTCATCATTCTTTCCCTTAATACCCTGAACTATTATTTGCATGGAGTATTCAGAGTGTCAGTTGGGATACATCAACACAGCAGTGCTGAACCGAGGCCGAAATAATGGAGTGTGGATAATGCCACGTAAAAGAAAAGTGGACAAACTCAGTGTGGGGTCGTGCAACCAGTTGAGGGGAGGTGTGTGTGTGTGTGTGTGTGTGTGTGTGTGTGTGTGTGTGTGTGTG